CCCACCCCATCACACATATCCACTCACATACCAGTATCACTACCCTACACATCCCAACTTGCCAACATGTCCACTGTTGCTCTCACATCCTTCCCACCTCCATGCCAACACCTCACTCACTCATCTTCTTTCCATCTGCCAATGCTCGAGTCCATCCACCACTACACTCCATCAACACACCACCAACTGCCCTTTCCATGCACACAGTGACCTTTAATCAAGCATGCTGACACACCACTAACCAAATCACCAACCTATCGTGCACTTGCCCACGCATCCATCCTTTAAACTCACCAACTTAACCACGCAACACTCTACCGCTGCCTCCACCCACCAACCCTCCTATGCACCTGCGCACACATTCACCCACCTTGGCCCAAACCACCCACTTGCCCACTTCTACCTGCCTTTCCCTTCCACCTACCCATCCCTCCCTTCAGCTAATCACCCGTCCACACTCCCACCAGCCATCTCAGCCAGCCTGGAACCATTACTCCCACCTTCCCCCATCTCTCTCTCTCTCTCTCTCTCTCTCTCTCACACACACACACACACACACACACACACACACACACACACGCACGCAGACATTCCTGGAATTCCACCGTGTGCCCACACATACTTGAGGACCTGGGGCCATTGTAGGAGATTCCCCTACTCCAGTCCTCAGCTGGCCCTGGAGACATGGTCTCCCAGAGCTGACCTGGAGTAACCCCCAAGTCCCTTCCCCACCACCCTCTTAGATGCACAAGGGTCTGGGTGAGAGCCAGGGCCAGGAAGTTCCTCTATGCTCACGTGCTCACTCTGTTCTTTTTGATCCTCAGGTGACTACTCGCCAGCCTTCCTCAAATATCTTAAGGTCTTCCCCCAGTCATTTCCATCTCCTTGCTGTGCCTAAAAATCTTTCAGCCCCAGTCGAGGTGGGCCAAGCCCTCAAGGCTCAGCTCCACCGTCACTCCGAGAGGAAGCCATCCCTAATGGCCCTTCCCTGACCTAAAGGAGTCCCCGTCCTCCTGGAACACCCACCCTTCGAGCTTCACCCATTTGGACCATGAGCCCATCAGAGATGGGCTGGACCATGCCTGGTCTCTGCAGTGGAGGTTGGAGGTGGGGAGAGAAGGACACACAGAAGGAGATTGGCATGGTGGGGTGAGGAAGGGGAAAACACTCACTGAGCACACACAGCCCTAAACACCAGACTGAATCTCATCTTCACCACAACCTGATGAGGCAGGTGCCACCCATTTTACAGATGGAGAACTGAGGCACCACAGAACAGCTTGCCAGAAGAGTCACAGCCGTGGTGGAAGTAGATTGGCCTAATTAGAAAGAAGCGCGTTCTCTGTGGTCTTGGTTTAGTACTTTGCTCCAACATACTTGTCACACTCGAGGGGCAGAAAGCTCTTCGCAGAAAGCCCTTTAGGGTGGGAATCCCTGTGGGATCCCAGCTCCTCTGTGCACCTCTCAGGGACAGTGTTCATAGTTCCCCCAGAAGAGAACTCAGAATGTTGGAAGAGCAAAGGTCAGATGGGAAGATGCAGACGGTTCTCTGTCTGTGTGTGTGTGTGTGTGTACATGCACTTGGGGCTTTATTCTAGATCTAATATTTTTATCGCTGCTGTGTTGCTAATTTTGACTTTTCTTTTAAGGGGGAGCTGGTGGAAAACATTTTACAAATGTTCTGGAATCACTTGGCCCCAGAAGAAAACCATTTGTCACGGAAACTTTCTTTGGAAGCCTTTGTAGTTGTTAAGTGTTGTCAAATCACTGACAACTCCTAGCGACCCTATGAACGAGAGACCTGAACACTTGCATAGCTTTCGTCATTTCTCCACGTTCATAGGGTTTCCGGAGGCAAGCTATTTCGGAAGTGGATGCCACTCCTGCTTCCAAGCCTGTTTTAATAGGGGAGCTCCACCAAACACTGTCCACCATGGGTAACCGTATGGCATTTGACACATCAGTGTCACAGTGTTCAGCTGCACAGCAACTATGAGTTACCTCTGCACAGCAAAGGACCAGACCAGTGCTATACCGCTTAGACAAAAGTTTGACCAGCTGCCACACTAAAGGAATTTTTCATTTTAATCTAGAATATTTGGTGCATGAAAGGGTTAGCCTGTTTTTCTATATAAGCACCTAGTGGCTGTTCCCACTGTCACCGGGGAGCTCTGTGGCCTAGTCGGTAGGGAGTCACACTTCTAACTCAAAGGTGGCACCTCTTGGGAAGTTAGAATCCCCCAGTGGCTCTTTGGGAGAAAGATAGGCAATCTCTTCCCCTGGGATTCAGAACCTCCGAGAACCCACTGAAGAGTCAGCTATGAATCAGTTCTGAGACAGCAGTGAGGAATGTTCTCTCTTTATTGTGTCCAACAAGCAGTGTCTTAGAGTGTCATAGGCAGAATGTCAACATGCCTTTTAAGGAAAAGGAAAGGTGTCGTTGAACTGAATACGACTCAGAGCAACCCTGTGAACAACAGGTTGAAACCCGGCCCGGTCCTGAACCACCCTCACAGTGCCCACCACGCTCAAGGCCATGGTTACAGTCGCTGTGTCAAGCCGTCCCACTGGGGGCCTTCTTCTCTTTCACTGGCCAGCTCCTGACAACATGTTCAAAGTATATAAGACGTCTCACCGTCCTTGCCTCTAAGGAGCACTCTGGTTGTACTTCCTTCAAGACAGATTTGTTAGTCCTTTTAACAACCCCTGGGATACTCAATACTCTTCACCCATATCATGATTTAAAGTAATCAATTCTTTGGTCTTCTTTTAGTCATGGCTCAACTTTCACATGTATATGAAGCCAGTGAAAAACCATGGCTTGTATCAGGTGCACCTCAGTCTGTAATTTTACATCCTTGCTCTTTAACCTTGCAAAGAGGCCCTTGACAGCACATGTGTCCAATGCAATATGTCTTTTGATTGGACTGCTGCTCCCACTGGTGTTGACTGTGGATTCAAGTGAAATGAAATCACTGACAACTTCAATGTTTTCTGCACCTATTGCCTGCTGCTGGGTTTGGAATCACAAAATTCAGTCTCAGGACAATAAAATGCGGAGATGACATGATCCCCTTCGTCAAGGACTGGGGAGGGGCTGCTGGTTTCCACCCTCAGACCCTGAGCTGGGCTGGGGAAGCACAGATTCTCAGTGGTCTTGCTCCGCAAGTAGAGAGAGGGCGGGAGGGCGGAGAGGGCAGGTCATTTCAGGCAGAAGGAACAGGGTGTGAAATGGACTCTTGGCAGGCAAGCGAGGTTTCAGAAGGTGTGAAAAACCTAATCATGGCGGTGTTGGGCTCCTGGCAAACAGGCACCCAGGGCCGAGGGGGAGGACAGGGGGCAGCAGCTGCAAAGGCTTCTGGGAACCAGGAGCCCACAGGCACCTCAAGGATCATCTCACGCCCCAGGGATTTCTGACTCATTAGATGAATGGGACACAGGGTCCTGGATCCAAAACCACTCCCAGAAAAGGAATTCTCCTAGAAACCTGCCTCTTCGTGTCCCAACTGTCTCCAAGGACCAAGGAGGACCTGTGTATTTTTCCCCCACTGTCCTGGGGAGAATGGGCATGAAGAAGAGACAAACGACCCCGTGTAAGCCCAGAGTCAGACCCACTGGTCACCAGGACAAGCAGCTGTGCCTCTCAGGGCTGAGCGTCTTCACTTGTCACTGTCCCTGCCTCACGGGGCCCTGGTGGCTCAGTGGTCAAGCGCTGGACTGCTAGCCAGACACCTTGTGATCTGAACCCACCAGCTGTTCCACAGGCGAAAATACACAGCACTTTGCTT